CTCCTCACCGTCTCTGAAAGCCTTGAATCCTGGCATTGTCCTGGTCTCCTGATGAATGTATGTTCGCTCCTGCACACACTTCCAGAACAAGCTCATTTCATCGACATTCAATATTTGTTCTGGCAAATATTTCTCATCCACAATTATCCTCTGCAGCTCTTCTTTAAAAGCTTTGGCACCTTCAGTATTGGCACTTGCTGCCTCATCGCTGACTTTCACATTATGAAAATTATGATGCCTTTTGAAGCGTTGGAACCAGCCATGACTTGGTATAAACATGTGTGTTACTTATAGGATCATGGGCATGCTTTTTTAGTGTATTGCAAGACGTCTTGCCTTAGCCTGGATTGTCAGTTGGCTAAGTGGTATGAGCTTCTGAACCTGGTCTTCCATCCACATGGCAAGATATTTTTCTTTCTTTCCTTTTTAAATATTCATTTGTTTATTTGGCTGCACCAGGTCTTAGTTGCATCATGCAGGATCTTTGATCTTTGTTGTGGCATGAGGAAACTAGTTGCCTGATTAGGGATGGAACCTGGGCTCCTTCTTTGGGAGCTTGGAGTCTTAGCCACAGTGGACCACCAGGGAAGTCCCTGTAAATTAAATTTCAATTTTAAAATAAGAGAACTAATCCATTGCAATGCGAGGAGTGAACTCAGTGCTTTCTTCCTTGGCACTTACCATCGTGTGTGTTAGTGGTTCAGTTGTGTCCAACTCTTTGCGACCCCATGGACTGTAGCCTGCCAGGCTCTTCTGCCTGTGGAATTCGGGCGAGAATACTGGAGAGAGTTGCCATTTCCTTCTCCAGGGGATCTTCCCTACCCAAGGATCGAACCCGGGTCTCCTGAACTGCAGGCAGATTCTTTACCATCTGAGCCACCAGGAAGCACCGTGCATAGGCACATATTCACACCTATGATCCAGAAGTTGTGCCGCCAGCTCTAGCACCGTGAGAGCTCTTGCGGCCTCCTTTATTCTTGTAATTCCAGTGCTTGGTAAACAGTGGGCACCCCGCATGAAAAGCCAAGCTCTGTACAGGGTGTGGGGATGCTGATAAGGGAGCCCATCCACTCTGGCCAAGACTGGGGGTGCTTCACAGGGAAGAGGATGTTGGCATCACCCCCTGAAGGCTCTTGGGGGCTTTTCTCTGCCGAGTACAGGAGGAAGGGCCAGTAGGCAGAGGAGCCTGCATGTGCAAAGGCCAGGAGGCAGGAAGAGCTGCTTGTTGTGTTGTGGTGGGAGGAGACTTGGCTGCTGGTTGTGCAGGGAGGGGAGGGAAGGACGCTAGGTGGGGCCTCATTCGCTGACCTGGAGAGTGTGGTCTTTGGTCTATGGGAGCCGTGGAAAGTTTTGAGAGAGGTCAGCCACAAAACAGAGTCATTTTAGAAAGATCAGTGGATCTGTGGACTGGACCCCAATGGAAGGCCTGGGAGTTCTCCATGGATGTAGGAGGGCAAAGTGGTGGGAATAAGCCCATGGACACTTGCACCTGCCCTGGCCATTCAGGGGCGGGCGAGGGTCTGAGCCCTGGCCTGCTGGGCTGGTGAAGCAGCGCCACCTACTGGCGGGCCCTGCTCCTGGACGTCACAGCCCCCAGATGCTTCTGGTCCCACGGGGACAGACCAGCCCATGGCCCTCGCTCGGAAAGAGGGGCAGAGCAAGGCCTTCTCTGGGGACTGAGCTCACCTTCTGGTTCAGGGGCCACGTCTCAGTACCTTGGCCAGATGCAGAGAGGAACAGTGTGCCCTGGTACTGCATGCACACAAGTTAGTATTCCTAGGTTCTGCCAGTTCTGCCTGGGTTTAGAATCTAGTTCCACCACCTTCTTGCAGTGTGACCCTGATAGAGTTACCGAAGCTCTCAGTAAATTAGGAATGGTGGTAGCACCCCCCTGTTAGGGTTGTTATGTGTCAGAACAGTGCTGACACATGGCAAGTACTGGAAGCTCTCATTGTATCTGCTATCACTTTGTCACCATCACCACTCAAGGCACAGAGTGAAGAGCCCTTGGAGGGCACCTGGGCTGGAGGCCGAGGGGCAGCCTATGGCACAAGGGGCCTGGGGGCAGCCATGGCAGCTGGAGAAGGCCTGGCCCCCGGGGCTAAACAGCTCAGACTCTCTCCTGGCCACAGGGGGGATGGCCAAAGGGTGCGGGCCTGGAGGAATGAGGTCAGGTCTGTATTTTACAAACCTAGCATCTACACACCCCTTTCTGCTCTCACACATGCCCTTCCACTGAGCCTCACGCCCAGCATCCTGGTCCTCAGCGTGCAAAGCAGGAAACAGGCTCAGGGAGGTTCAGGAACATGTGCAATTCCCAGCATGAGTTAGGGTCAGGACCCTGAATTCTCAGCTGGTGTCCCCACCTCCCGGGGCTCCATCTACCCCATGGTGCTGTGGTTATGGGAGAGGTTCCGTCGCTTTCCCGGCCCCTCTTAGCCAGAGCAACAACCTGCCTTTAAGAATTAATTTTAGAACTGAGATTGGGATTGGCATGCAGGCGTGTGTGCCAAGTCACTTCAGTCGTGTCCGACTTTTTGAGACCCCATGGACTGTAGCTCACCAGGCTCCTCTGTCCGTGGGATTCTCCAGGCAAGAATACTGGAGTGGGTTGCCATGCCCTTCTCCGGGGGGATTGGCATATATACACTATTAATGTGTAAAATAGATAACTAGTGAGAACCGAGGGACTTCCCTGGCAGTTCAGTGGTTAAGACTCTGCACTTTCAATGCCAGGGACACGGTCAGGGAACTAAGATCCTGTATGCCATGCATTGTGGCCAAAAAAAAAAGGGGGGAGAACCAATTGTGTAGCCCAGGGAACTCTTCTCAATGTTCTGTCCTGACCTAAATGGGAAGGAAATCCAAGGAAGAGGGGATGCATGTTTACATATGTATGGATCAGTGTGGCTGATTTCACTTTACTATACAGCAGGAACTAACACAACTTTGTAAAACAACTGTGGTGGTCGTTTAGTAGCTCAGTTGTGTCCGACTCTTGTGACCCCATGGACTGTATGTAGCCTGCCAGGCTCCTCTGTCCTTGGGATTCTCCAGGCAAGAATACTGGAGTGGGTTGCCATTTCCTTCTCCAAGGAATCTTCCCGACCCAGGAATCAAACCCAGGTCTCCTGCATTGCAGGCAGATTCTTTACCTACTGAGCTATGAGGGAAGCCCCAAAGCAAGTATATACTCCAATTTTTAAAAAATGACATTTTAAATAGAAATTAAAGCATCTTCCTTTTCCCAGCTGGGCCTATTTCTGGCTGGGAGATCTGCAGCAAGAAGCAGCTGTGAGCGTGTGAGTGTGCATGTGTGTGTGTGTGAGCATGTGAGTGAACGCGTGGGTGAGAAATGGTGTATGTTTCTTATCAGTTCAGTTCAGTCGCTCAGTCGTGTCTGACTCTTTGTGACCCCATGGACTGCAGCACGCTAGGCCTCCCTGTCCATCACCGACTCCCATGTTGCTTATGCAGACAGTCTGTTTGGACTCCTTAGACCCAGGCTTACCTACCCCGCTGTGTCTCATCAGGTCCCTTGCTGTGAGGAGTGGTGACAATGTCTGGTCCTCTGCCCTCCCACCCCCCACCCCAGTGGCCTATGCCAGCTGCTTCCTGAGATCTTCCTGCCATGGATCTGAGAGTCCCCAAGGCCTGGGTTTGCCCCTGGGCACCGCTCTCTGCAGACTCTCGTCCCCTCACTTCAAAGGTTCCAGCCCCCGGCTGCGCTGCGCCCTGCCAACCCTTCCTCCTCCCCCATCCCCAGCTTAGAGCTCCAGGGGGAAGTGGCTTCACTGGAATGTTTACGAAACACAAGGGAGAGGACTTTTTTTTTTTTTTAAAGAAAAATTAGTGTAACAGGATTTTTCAGATTTAGCACACTATTTCTGAAATTCAAAACATGACTTATGTGTTTTCCTGTCAACAGTGCGCCTAAAAACATCACGCCTGCTGCTCTCAATTAATTCATAATTTTCCCATTCATGATTAAGTTGCTTGGTGTCAGCAGATGCAAGTTCTGTGGAGTCATGCAGTTTTGCTTTCAAGAGGAAGCTGTGCAGACTTGATTAAGCAGTCATGGAAATTGAATAATAAAGCTGGATTTTTGCCCCTTGTGAAAATCAATCATATTTATGTTTTCCTTTTTTAAACTATAGTTGATTTCCAATGTGTAAATTACAATGTTAGTTTCAGGTGTGTAGTAAAGTGATTCAGTTTTATACGTATGTGTGTGTGCTCAGTCGTGTCTGACTTTGTGATCCCATTGTAGCCCGCCAGGCTTCTTTGTCCATAGGATTTCCCAGGCAGGAATACTGGAGTGGATTGCCATTTCCTGCTCTGTGGGATCTTCCCAACCCAGGGATTGAACCTCCGTCTCCTGTGTCTCCTGCATTACCGCTGTGCCACTTGGGAAGCCCGTACATGTATTCTTTTCCAGATTCTTTTCCCTTAGAAGTTATTACAAAATACTGAGTGTAGTTCCCTGTTGGAACCACAGTAGCTACAACAGTAACTCCTTGCTGGTTATCTATTTTATTTGTAGTCGTGTGTATCTGTTAATCCTAAACTCCTAATTTATCCCTCCATCCCCTTTGCGTGTGTGTATGTGTGTTAGTTGCTTTGTCATGTCCAACTCTTTGTGACCCCATGGACTGTAGCCCACCAGGTTCCTCTGTCCATAGGGTTCTCCAGGCAAGAATACTGGCATGGGTTGCCAGATCCTTCTCCAGGGGATCTTCCTGTCCCAGGGATCGAAGCTGGGTCTCCCACATTTCAGGCAGATTCCTTACCGTCTGAGCCAACCATAAATTTAGTTTCTATGCGTGTGGGTCTGTTTCTGTTTTATAAATAAGTTCATTTTTTTTAGATTCCATATAAAAGCGATATCATATGATATTTGTGTTTCTGTATCTGGCTGGGCTGGGTGGTCTCTGCAGGAGTGGGGTCTGCGGTGGGCGGAGGGGGGCCCTCACACTGTCCTGATGCTGCCCTTGTGTTAGTTACAGGACTCTGATCAGACCCACGTACAGAGTGTCCTACCGCACGGTGACGGCGCTGGAATGGAGGTGCTGCCCTGGCTTTACCGGGAGCAACTGTGATGAGGGTGAGTCTCTGGGGAAAATTTGGGTTTGGAGAAAATAAAATCAATAAAAATTCTGGGATGCCAGAAGACTTTGACTACATGGGCTAAAATGATCGATGTTAATGAAGGAGCTATATGCTTGTGAATGTGTAAATTTTCATATTATCCAGCTAAATGTACTGAATTGTCATTTACCTGTAATTGTGTTTATCATTTTATTAATTTTAAATAAGGGGGTTGGGGGATGGCTGCTGGCCAGGCTGGTCCTCAGAGTCTCTGGATGCTCCTCTCCCGCCTGCCCTCGTTTGGGGAGGAGTTCCTCTCTTTTTCACATCCTTTCTTTCTCCCAAGCATCTCTGAACTAAACGCTCGGGACCGGCCAGCTGGGGTGAGCCTGACACCCTGCCTGGGGGGCACCGAGGTGGGGTCCGTGTGTGCACTGCTCGGGCCAGGCCTGGAGGAGAATTGTAAGCCCCAGCCTGGGGAGGAAATTCAATGCACAGCCTATTTCTTCTGCTCTGGCTCTGACTCACGCAGCAGCTGGGGCAGGCAGGGCTGGGTATGTGCTCTGAGTAAATGCAGATGAGGGCATGTGAGCCGTGAAGCCGCACCTGTTGTAGAAGAAGGCAGATGGACCTGGTAGGTGGAAGGAGCAGGAGGGCCTCACCCCACCGACCCCTCTGCCCGGCCTGTGCTCAGGGGAGGGCAGGGCCCAGGGCCAGGTGTCCCTTCCGAGCCCCGGGCCCTGGGCTCAGCTCAGTCTGGCTCTGGAGCCCGAAGGGGCCAGACAGCAGCGCTCAGGTGGGAATCAAAGCGGGTGACAGAGCCCACTGCCACGCCGCTCACGTCCAGCGAAGCTTGGGTCCAGCCTGATGAACAGGTTTGCAGCTCACCCGGTTCTCCAGAAGAGCTAGGCTGTCCCCTGGCTCAGGGGTCGGTTTTGTCTTTGGAAACAGTAGCTGTCCTCAACCATGACTTTCTGACAACACGATCTTCCCTTGTCTTTTTTTTTATTCCCTGACTTACTGATTTTAGTTTTGTGTGTATGCTCTGTCACTCCAGTCGTGTCTGGCTCTTTGCGACCCCATGGACTGTAGCCCGCCAGGCTCCTCTGTCCCTGGGGATTCTCCAGGCAAGAACACTGGAGTGGATGGCCATGCCCTCCTCCAGGGGATCTTCCTGGCCCAGGGATGGAACCCGAGTCTCTTGCGTCTCTTTCATTGTAGGTGGATTCTTTACCCACTGAACCACCAGGAAGCCTGATTTTAGTTATATGTATGTTAAAATACTATTTGTTGTTGTTTAGTCACTAAGTCGTGTCCGACTCTTTGTGACCTCATGGACTGTAGCTTGCCAAGTTGCTCTGTCTCTTGCACTGGCAAGCGGGTTCTTTACCACCAAGCCACCCGGGAAGCCCAAGTTAGATCCTACAGAATAATAAAACAAAACCCTTGGGCTTTTCCTCTCTACTGAGAAATCGTTTACATCTCTACAGTTTTGTACAAGTTAACATCCAACTTCGCAGAACCTGAGCTATAACCTGTGGTAAATGGCAAGGAAACAAAGTGACCTTCTCCCAGGATGACCCGTGGCCCTGAAGTGGCTCCATGACATTGAAAGGTTGGGCCAGCACCTTTTGGGCCCACGCGCATGTTTTGGGTAATTTTGCAGACTGCACAAACGAAGCACAACATTTGGCAAGCAGCAGCAGGCCAGGGGTGCTTGAGGGTCAAGCTTTGTTCTCAGGGAGGTTCTGCCCACCAGGACAGCAGTAGGTTCAAGCAGGCCCAGGGCCCCCCCCCCCTTCCTGGGAGAGGAGATGGGGTGACTCTGACCTGGGCAAATGCCCCCAGAGGCGCCTGCCCTTGAGAGCGTGTGGCACCTCCCCTCCGGAAGAAAGATCATCCCTGGCCAACCGCACCGATGTGGGTTATCAGCACACTCACCAGAAACATCTGGGCACCCTGAGCTAATTAGTAAGAGGTGCTGGCACCTTGCAAGACACTCTCAGCCTCAGAGCCTCTGCCAGAGCTCTGGAAGGATCTTCCAAACTTGCCCACCTCGATGAGGACGTGTGTGCGTCTTAGGACTTGGGATGAGGCCTGCCTCTTTCAGGGAGACTTGGGGTTGAGCAGTTCCTATCCATCTGTGAGTGTGAGGGTCCTGGGAACCCTATGGGCTTGAGGGACTCCTGGGAGCAGGGGGCCCCCGGCTGAGGTTGGGACTGGCTCCTGGAAGCCCTGGTGATGACTTCACATTCCCAAGGAGGAACCCATAATGACCGAAGGCAAAGCCAGGGTGGTGTCTGTGACTTCAGACGCATTCCTGAGATGGTTGTGGAGGGGCCTGGACCGTGACCTCCCCCTCGGCTCCCAGGCCGACCTCTCTGGAAAGCCCGCAGGTCAGAGGGGCCCTCCTCCCTGGTTTCGCTTTGCCTCAGATGAGATTCCCCAGGAGGAGCATCTTTTTTTCTGATGCGTCTGGCCTTCCTTCCAAGCTGTCGGGTCTCTGGTTTTACGACTTGGGCTGGGATTGCCTGGGGGTAGCTGGCTCCCGCCTCCCTGATGGCCTGTCTCTGGACCTGTTTCCCTCTCCTCGGTCTCCGCTTCTATTTCCTCCCTGGATGCCCCAGGAGTGCTGGCCCAAGGCTTGGGAATGCTCTCCTTCATAGACGTGTCTCCTACATCGCAGGCGGATTCTTTACCGACTGAACCACCAGGGAAGCCTCATGTCTATATACCGTCGATCCTAATTATTTAAAAATATATTTTTATTTAATTATTTGCCTGTGCCAGATCTTAGTTTCAGCTTGTGGGATCTTTAGTTGGAGCATGCAAACTCTCACTTGTGGCATGTAGGATCTAGTTCCCTTGCCAAGAATTGAACCCAGGCCCCCTTCTTTGGGAGCATGGAGCCTTAGCCACCCAGACCACCAGGGAACTCCCCCATCCTAATTATTTGACGAGTCTGCATTTGTGAATCTTACTAAAATTTACTTGTAACCCAAATTAATACCTGAAGCACTTTTGTGGCCATTCAGAGCTGTGTGCAGAGCGATAAAAAATTTGAGTCGCCTCACGTGTGTTCCCATGTTAGGAGGTTGAACCAGATGGCTCCCTGCTTCTTGGTTTCAGTTCTCATGTAAACAAGCATCCTTTTCACAGCCTGTTTAGTGCCGTGTTTTTCACATTTTTGTGCCTTTCTTTTTTGGGTGGAGGGGAGTGATATTCTTGTCTAAAATGTCCCCAAGCATAGTGGGCCAATGTTCTTAGTGCAAAAAGACTCTGATGTGACTTTCTGAGAAAATAACATGTGTTAAGTAAGCTTTGTTTGGCATGAGTTATAGTGCTGCTATTGGCTGTGGGTTAAATGTTAATGAATCTATAATGTAGATTCAATAAGATGTCTTTAGATGGAAGCCCACATAAAACAAGCTTATGTATTGATCGTATTGATCCATTGACGAACATGTTGTGACCTGATACTCACAGGAATCTAATCCTGTATTTCCTCCACAAGCGATGGTTCAGTAGTCACCGATTCAGGATTCCCTGGGGACTTGATGAAATGTGGCTATCCTGAATAAGGAGAATTAACTGTAATATCTGCATCTATTTAGAAATATTTTTTTCTTATTGCACAAGCAAGTACGTATTGGGTATAGAAAAGTGAAAACATCCAGAATTTTACCTCTCAAGGTGACCCCCAGTCTCACTTTGAAGAAAATCCTCCAGACCCTTTATTTTGCTGGGGAAGGGCTGCACTGGGTCTTTGCTGTGGCATGCAGGCTTTCTCTCTTTGTGGCATACAGGTTTCTCTTATTGCAGAGCGGGGCTCTCTAGTTGTGGTGTGGGCTTAGTTTCCCAGAGGCTTGTGAGATTTTAGTTCCCTGACCAGGGGAACACCCTGGGTCCCACACCCCCTGCATTGGAAGGCGAATCTCAACCACTGGACTGCCAGAGTAGTTCCACAGACCTTTTTCTGTGCTTTCGTGTCTGTTATACTCTGCACACCATTCGATAACTTTTTTTTTTTCACATCGATTGTCATGAACACGTCTCTTTGTCAATAGATTGCTTTCTCTATTATCATTTTCAATGGCTGTGGAATTTGGGTACACACTTTATTAACTAACCCCCTACTAGAAAATATTTAACTTGTTTCCATTTAAAAATTTTTCATAATCTTGCTGCAAGCATCTCTCTCTGACTGATGTAAAATTTACATGTACCAGCGGATACCCATTTTAAGTGTACAATTTGATGAATTTTGATACATGCATATATCACCTCACAGAAAATCCCCACCCCTTAACAACCTCTGTTCTGATTTCTAACATCGTAGCTCAGTTTTATCCATGCTTGAGCTTCGTGTAAAAGGAGTCACAGTGTATACTCCTTTGTGCATGCTTTCTTTCACTTAGGATAATGTTTTTGAGGTTTATTCATGTCCTTATATGTGTATCAGTAGTTTCTTTGTTATTGAGGATTGTTCCATTGTATGCGTGTGTATGTGCTAAGTCGCTTCAGTTGTGTCTGACTCTGCGACCCTGTGAACGGGAGCCCGATGGGCAAGAATACTGGAGTGGGTTGCCATTCCCTTCTCCAGGGTACCTTTCTGACCCAGGTGTTGAACCAACGTCTCTTATGTCTCCTGCACTGGCAGGCAGATTCCTTACTACTACTGCCACCTGGGAAGCCCATCCAATTGTAAAAATAACTGGTTTTATTCACCCATTTTCCTGTGAATAGATATTTGAGTTGTTTATAGTTTTTGCCTTTATGAAGAAAGCTTCTGTGAACAGTCTTGTTTATGTCTTTCTATCAACATTTTTATTGTTTTTATTTCCCTTGGGTAGATCGCTAGAAGTGGAATTGCTAGGTTGTGATGTATGCTTAACTTTTTAAGAGTCAAGCTGTTTTCTAAAGTAGTTTTACCATGTTACACTCTTATCAGCAAAGTATGTTCTAATTGCTCCACATCCTTGTCAACAGTTGGTGGTGTCAGTGTTTAATTTTAGT